GTCACAGCCTTTTGTCAGTCCTGTCCTCATAATGCGAAGCAGCTGCATAACTCGAATAAGCTGCCTCGATTCGAAGCTTTCCCGTGCTTACAGCAGCCTCCAAAGCAATGATGTGCAACGATTCATGCCTGTCACTGTCGCTACACGTGTCATCCATGCATGCAATGCTGCATAGATTGGGCTCGGGCGTGTCCACCTCAGGAAAAAACCTGGTTGGGCCCACAGGCAAACGTCTGTGCGAGCAGCGTTCAACAATGCTGGCAAGGAGCGTCAGGACCCAACAGTCCACAATGGCAAGGAGAACGATCACCTGTGGTCGGCTATGCTCGAATTGACTGGAAGGTACGAGTCGTGCATCTAGCTCCCGGAAGGAGCCCTGTGATCATAGGAACTTTGCGATGTGAAGTAGAGCACCTGCTCTTCATATTCCTCTCACGAAACCACATTGAGGGCCGCACAAGATCCAGCAAATTCCAGAATTGAATGGAACGACTCTCGATCTCGGTAGCAGGGGTGCAGCCAGCTGGTGGAAGTCTGTGGCAGCAAGTCATGAACTTGCACAGGTCTAGATGCCCGCAGTTTGCAGTGCAACACTGGGTGCACCACTGAGTAGAAGTATCCAATCCCGAGAAAGTAAAGCTTCAACACCTCAACGCATTCGTCACACTGCCAAGCAGAAGAATGCGTGGGGCAGAAAGGGTGTTGGCGCATATCGTCGCGGCGGAGCAGGCATTGAGAGGTAAGTGTGGGGACGGTGGGGATGTAGGCTTTACCTCGGGATCGCGGCTAGCTCAACGGTGAAGATCGCCGTGAACATGTTCTCGCATACCAGCCAAATCCTGATCTTCGCAAGAACGTCGTAGGCACCCACAAATGCTGCACGCTCAGGGTCTGAGAAGCCCAAAGCTGAGGCACCCGGCATATCCCACGGATCTCCACTTAAGTCGGCCTGAGAGCTTGCGTAGAGGTGCCGGCTCTGAGTTCGACTGCAACATGGCGGCCTGTAAGCCAAGGGTGATCGCATTCAGCATGATCGTACCTGCAGCTAACCGAATAGTGCTCTGCAACTTATCAGAAAAACAGGTTTACAAAAGCGACTCGTTCTGAATTGTGCATTCTTCTTGATTCTGCGCAGAGCATCAGCACATGCGCATGTCTCCGCATGATGGGCGCTGTAGATGAAGTTCTGGAAGAACTTGCTTTCGACAGGAGTTACCGATTTCGGCGGCTCCTCAAGCACGACTCAGTGACTCAGCAAGGACCAACTGACCCACTCGTGCCTCGATCTTCTTCCTGGCGCGTGGATGGCACTTCGCGACACTCCAGGCATGCACAGAGACGTCAACACAACAACCGTGGCCGTACTCTAGCAGGTGGCATCGCAGCAGGAGTGTCGTGCCCCGAAGCTGCCCGGAATCTATGACAAGCACCCCAATATGATACTACAAGTCTACAATTTACTGCAGAACCTGCTGCCATACAATACTAGTAGCAGGCATGCACAACTGTGCACCTCCCCACAATGTTGGATACCATGTTCTCGACCGACTTGGAGGCCTGTCGATTTTCCATTCAGCACAGCTGGCAAAGCCATGTACAAACGTCTTCTGAAACACATACGAACGCATTCGTTCAGATTGTCGCCTTGATGATCTTTTGGGCCTCGCTCGTGGAAATTCGGGTCATCAACGCCTGCACGCACAACCCCGAGAAGTGTCTAGGATGTGCTCCGAAATAAGAGTCTGCGAATCGGCTCAGCATCCGCGGGCATTAGCGTTCGAAAGGGACTGAGGAAGGCTGCCTGCGGAATTCGCTGCGTCTGCTGGGTTCGCCGAGCCGCATGCAGCCCTGCAGCCTCGGAGCCGGTCAAAGCCAGGCCCCCTAAGCTTTAAGATGCTGGGTTTAGGGTTTAGGGTTTAGGGTTTAGGGTTTAGGGTTACTTTAAGCCCTAAGTTCAACTCTTCTGATCTCCTTTCCAAGCCTGCACGGCAACTACGCTCACGGCTTTTCTCCATGACGAGGGCCTCACAAAAGCTGGCTGCGACACCGACATGGCGCTGCCTCTTCCGGCCTGGGCTCTCCCTCTCGCTGTTTCGACAGTCTTGAGCTATTGGCAACTGCTGTAACTACTTTAGGATTTCTTCCAGATCCTCTTTCTCTTTGTAGACCCGATGAAGCCCATGGGGACCGGACCAGGTCGCGATCGGACGTCGAAGTTGTGCTCACGTGCACTAGCAACTCCAAGTGCGTTTTATCTGCTGTGTATGACGACATCTCCGTTGCTCGACAGCTGCTTCGCAGAGCCCTGCCAAAGTCTTGGCAAGAAAGAGAACCTACCAGTATCTCTGCACCTTTGCTCACATCGAAGAACCACCTCCCTTGCGTGCCGAGGCCTGGCGGCTTGAGCCTATTCCTCATATTCCTCATATCTTCACCCTTCCACAGCAAGCAAGAATGCACTCATGACCTGCACGGACGCATCGCAATATGCTTTCTTGATGGCGAGCTTGCCCGCAGTCTCCAGTAACCCCTCTGAAGTGCTCGCGATCAAACACGACATGGCAGCAAACTCAAAAAACTGATTGCCAACTGAAGCGCTGTCTGCTGAAATCTCAGCAGCTGCTTTGTCTTCAGCTTTCGTGTGCCGTCAGTCGGACAGCTGACACAGAACACACGAGGAGGAGGTCTCCGGGTCCCTGTACCGATCTCCGAAAACCGGAATCTCACCATCGTCAGCCGCACAGCCGCACAGCAACAGCGGATCGAGGCGCACCTTTTCCAGCAACGGCATGCGACCACCAGTTCATGATGAGTGGTGGCATGAGCACAAGGGCACAGTCCTGGACTGCCCTCATGCAGCCATTTAACCATTGACGAACGGAAGTTGTAAGGCAGCAAAGCCGAAGCACCTTCGCCTTGAAGAAGTCCTTGCCAGCTTTGATGTCAATCCCATGCTCTGCCAGCGAACCTGGCCCGTGAATGCACCGACAGCACCACGTTCCCTGCTCAGGTCTTTCATTCAAGCTGACCGCACGTGCATGAAAGCCACTAGACCCATGTGTTGGATGGAGTTGTGAGTCGGGAAGCTGGGTTGCCGACCCATCCGGAACCTGGTCGTGCAGCCAGATACTTTACTCGGACAGAGTTGTGACGACACCGCTCCCCTTCACCAGGCAAATCCGTGTCCACCATGCTGTGACCATTCTGTCCAGGTGTCCAGCCTCAGACGGCCGCATCAGCCGCCCACAGCGGACCAGCTGTGGTGCATCCTCGATACTGCGCAGCATATTTTCTAGACTGCAGGGATGCTCTTCCCAGGAGTCCTTGAGTTCGAGCGGCAGCAAGCGTCTTGGCCGCAGCAGCTCTGCATCCATGTCCATGAACACCCGCAGCTCCTCATGGAACTTCGGGCCATTCTGTGCACCATGATACATGTTGCATGAGCCTGGCTCCACATGCGTAAATCTACTTCAGTGTAAGACTATCCTGCATTCCAGCCTGCGGCGGCCAGGCCATGATAAGCGACAATACCAGACTGTCAGCATGCCAAGAATACGACACAAGCCTGGAAGCTCGAAACCCATTCTCTAGCACGTCACAGGTCTTCCCAAACCGGTCGGTAACAGAAGGACAGGAACAGAGAACTGTAGGTTAAGACAGTGAATGAAGTCCTCCTCACTTCTGGCCAGGTGTCTATTCAACTCCTGGCAAGAGGACAAGAAGCAAATGTGAGTGTGCATCAGGCAGGGTAACCAAACCGGTACACAGTACACATCCTCCAGTCCACTCACCACAGCTGATCGAGCCTCTGGTGTCGTCAGTTGAACGCCCCTGTGGTCCTTCACCTTCGAGCCACCATGCCATAAAAGCGAGTGCTTGAACTCCAAACAGCCATAACAAGGCACTGCGCGGTTTTGGAGCCGTCCGGAGCATGCGTCTTCGCTTTGCACGACTACCTTGCGCTGGGCTGGCCTCTGCGGTGTCCTGCGGAGCGTCGCCACCCTACGCGGTTAGATGACACAGGGATCAGGCGGCTCGTGCAAACACTCATTCGGGCAAGAATGCAGAAAAAGCAAGCCTCACATCTTTTCAGGCAAATCTTGCTACGGACTAGTCTTACTCCCTATTCGTGCTGTTTGCATTCCTACGGATCGAATATTCTAGCCGCTAAAACACGGTGATTCAGACCTAATTGCAAATACGGCTCCTTTGCGTACCCCATGGTACCCCATGTTAGTATTCAACCACTACGAGCCGGTTGTGGTTGCGCATCGCCTCGAGGCCTAACACGGCACGGAGCGCCCCGCGGCGCTGTTCGGCAGTGGCCTGCCGGAACCTCGGGAACAGAGCACATGTAATTGCTTCGAAGCTGCCATACACGCGCACGGCTCACGTACTGTTTCTCAAGGCATCTGCGGTGCGCTGTAGCCTTCACAACTGTGACGTCATCTTGATCTCAACCACTCTTTCTGAACATACTTTTGGCTGTTCATAAGGCGCCACCCTTCGCCGATTGTCGTACATAACTCCCCTCTCAACCGATGATGTTGCAGGCCTACGTACACTTACCGTATGCACGGCTCCAAGGCAGCATGGGTCTGGGGTAAAAATGAATGTGGCTAAATCATGGCAGCACAAATCCCTGTATGGAGGTGCGGGGGCTTCTTCATCCCCGCACCACCACAAACAACTGTCCCAAGCTCTCTTGCCTTTGCATATGCTCGGCTGTGCTCGGCTTCCCACATACCAGCTCCGAGGATCTTTTGCTCCATTTGCAGCTTGGCCGAGCACCGCTCCACCATGTGCCTCTCGACCTGCCAAGCTCTCCGAAACGAGGGATGAGAAGAAGGGGGCAGTTGCTGCCAATGTCTAAGCCACGGGCACGGGATTGTGAGATGAGTGTAACCTTCACAGCAAGTGGCTGCAGCCAGAAGATTATCTCGAAAGGTCAGGCGCAGTCTACATATCACATGCTACCTTTGGTAGTGAGAGCATGTTGTTTAGGCTGGGACAACTGAGCCACAAGCAATTCGGACTTCGCGAGTTTGGCCCACGCGGTGCACCCGAGCAACGGCCTCGAGAAACAAGTGCTCGGATCCTTCTTTTCTGGCTGATTCGGCAGCTGGGAAAGCCAGATGTCTATTCCACTGCTTGCAAACTTCCTTGCGATGACAAAGCCACTCAGGCCAGTCTCTCGTTGGGCAAAGGCACGTCGAGAGGCGTTGCAAAACATCACGGTTGTCACGGACGTTCTACGTCTGTCGTTGTCGCACGCACTCTTAGAGTTGTATAGCAACCCCGTACAAAAGTCCTTATCCCTGAATGTCGTTATCGTTCTTTTTTTCTTATCATTTTTCCATGAAAACCGTGTTATCGTTATGTTATCGTTGTATTTTCTTCTTATCGTTTTTGCCATAGACAACCATCCAGAACCGAACAGGGACATGCCAAGACTAAACCTCAAGGCACCCGGGTTGTCACACACTCCCTCTTGGAGGTTTGGCGGTGTTTCGCGATCTGCACCCCGGTGCCAGCTCGGACATCGGCTCCCGGCGGCTTCGATTCCGCTTATACAATACAGGCCTGTTGCACGAGACCTGATGCTCAGCATGCGATGACCGAGACAAAGGAATGTGATAACAGCAGCTGAGGCAGTAGATGCTAAAAGCCTGAACTCGAAAGCCTCTGCTGTTTGGAGCTGACCTTGTGTGGGGACAAACATCTTTAGCATGCTGCAAGTTAGACATAGCGGTCGTGAATGTGCTTCCCGAACATGGAAAGTCCACTCTTGCATTTCGCGGAGTGCAGTAGACAACAAGACAACGAGGAATCTAGCTCGGATTCAGGCAGGAGTTTTAGATAGTCTGATAGTCTTGGAGACGAAACGCAAGCTTGAAATGTTTCTGTAAGTTTGTTCCGACATGCTGTACACAAGACCAACCCGAGTCCCAGGCCTGCTTGTCATTTTGGGGATTCCAGTCGAGGTCAAAAAGCACAACCGTGTCAGCCTCGGCACGAGCTTCGCCGCGTTCCGTGAGACCGCACTGTGTGTTCCTGTGGTCCACGAGACGCCCACCGCCTGCAGGTTCAGCCCAAGGCCTCCAGCACGGGAGGACCTTTGACAGAGCGAGCATTCACCCCCAAGCTGGGCACGAGGCACGAGATGGCACGAGGCCGCGGCAGCAAGAAGACGGGCACCGCCTCGTGCTCGAAGCGCTTGAGCCGAGCGAGACGCTCCGCGTGAGGAACCTTCCGTCATGCAGCGGTTGGCCAGCGGGCTGCAGGTGACCCCAAGAATCTCGCAGCCTGCCCGTCAATGCGAACAAAGTCAATTTTCTTCCACTCCAGGTAATCCTCCAACTTCGTGAGAGCAACTCATAGACTCTCGTTGTGAACACACCACTGAATGAACGTCATGCTCGAGTGGCCCTATCTTCTTGGCCTGGAGAATGTCCAAAGCACTGGTGAATTGTGAGAAGATGAGCACCTGCGAATTTCACGCGAAGCGCGGTGGAGATCTAGTTTCTAGCCTGATGCTGGCCAGTAGACACTTTACCCCTCGCTTTCGTGTGGAGACAGTCTGAGGTTAATCGTCGGCAATCCTTGTGGTCGAAGCGCAGCAGCTTTGGCAGCATGCGATCCAAGGCTTCGACCTCGTGGCATCGGGAAGCACGTCGTTTGCCACAAGCAGTCTCGTGGGTTCATTGAGACCAGGAGGTCCGAGGAACATTTGCCGTTTACCTGCGGTTTCGCCTCCTGTTTCAGACGTTCCAGGGCCCTCCACCTGAGCCCGTAACACGCAAAGAACGATGCAGCTGCGAGGCAGGAGTCTAAACTATGAACACATGCCCCCCAACCTGGCCTTGCCAGAGGTCCGAAACAAGTCGGCATCTCTTCCGTAGCTCTCCTGAAAAAGATACCTCGCGCACAGGCTGGGCTGCGGCAATGGCCCTCACTCCCTCCATTGGGGTAGAAGGAAGAGGCAGTCCTTCACACAGCGCAAATGAGCGGACACCAAAATCAGAAACGCCCGACGAGGGCACGGATGCAAGACGATCTTACGAAGCTGCATCAGGACATTGTTGACCTTGGCATGTTCAACACTGCCGTGACATGTCAGGACAGACCCGATTGCACTACAGGGCCCTAGCACAACGAGCTAGATGTTGCGCCTGTTCGGTCGTGACGTCCACACTCTCCCCCAGGAGTTTGAGAGTCTTCTTCTCCAGATCCCTGTACCTGTCAATCTGAGACACTGACACAGCGTTTCTTGCAGACTCCCTGAAAGCCCGAAGGGCACGCAGATTCCTGCCATGCGCTCAGAGGCACGGTGACCATCGCCTGCATGCATGATTTTCGGCTGCTGCCAAAACATTAACTCGGCCCTGATAACCTCAGGAGTCGGAAGCCGCGAGTGAGACTCTGAGACCACCGTTGCCCTGAAACTAACCTTTGGCACTCTTCCAGCCACGTGCAAAGGCTCCACAGAACGCACTCAGAAGTATAACTGCGGCTGCTGCCGCTACTGCTGCGGCTGTTGCTGCTTACCGCTCCGGCTCGTCTCCTGCTCCTGCTTCTGCTGCTCCTTCTCCTGCTCCTGCTACAAGTAGCACCACTGCTGCTGCTAGGCAAGAACCACTGCTGCTGCACTTACTGTCGCTGTTCTTCGTACTACTACGCCTTCTCTCACTCTGCATCTACAATATAGAGAATTACTATCGTACAAGCAATACACAGACATTATCAACCCTAGCCAACACCATCACCCAACATCAGAGGTCACTGTAATCAGATCCTCTTCCACACTGCGCTTTGCATGCCTCCTTGCGCGGAGGCAGGTGTCGACCGAGAACCTGACAGGACAGCACAGTTCGCATCCTATGGGGTCCCTTTTTCTGCTTTTGCTCTCCGGCACGTTCTATGATCTTCTTGTATCATCAGTTCAGAAAAGTGTACTTTGGAGAGTAGGAACTGACGAACAAACTGCACTAAGTATGGATTCAATGCGTTGCTTCCCGCTCCATCTCGTCAGCAAGCGCTTTCAGTGTTGCACGCAAACGCTTGGCAGTTGTTCTTTCTACCTCTTGCTGTCTCGTCAAGTCATTGAGACTTTTCATTCTTCTTGGCCGATTGAGACGGCCCAGCAGCTCTACAGCAGTACTGTCATGCAGGCATCTCACGCAATACGCAGCGGCAACGATGATCTCCCACAGAAATGCGAGAAACGCTCTGCACGGCCTCCGCCTTAAGCCGCTGCAGCAAGAAAGGAGCAAGCAGCGCATGGGTCTGGGCACAGACCTGGCCAAAGCCAGAGCCAGAGCTCCAAATCCAGGCATCATGACCAAACCTCCGAACGGCACCTCTTGCTCCTGCTCTGGGTTCAGCTGCCTGAGTCTACAGTACGACTTTCTGCAGTTTTGAGGCCAAGGACCTCCCCTTAAGCCGAGCTGCACGTCGAACTCGTTCATGCCTGAGCCCTTGAATGGACTTGCGAACCAGGCCTTGCGTGCTTGGCTCGGAGCTTTGTACAGCTTACCATAGCAAGCAGACTCCACGCGGCCTTGAAATCCAGCATGTTGGTGAAAAGATCCGGCAGCAAGTAGTGCAGAAGAGCCCAGAGTTCCGAGATGCCTCATGGCGTAGTCATTCACAGAGCTCCACTGCGTGACCGGCATTGAGCTCAAGCAGTGAAATGCGGCCGTCGCTCGTGATCTTTTTCCGCTCGCTCCGCATCCAGCAGCAGCTTAAGGACGGCCTGCATGCAAACCACGGCTCCTTTGATTCCAAAAAGCCATCGAAGCCCTCGCACTTCGGCCTCCGGAGGCTTCTCAGCGCAGTAGCGCGCCTCCAGAGCAGAGACAAGCATCTTTCGAGAGCTACGACACCTAAGAAGAGTGGCCGGAACTTTGACCAGCAAGGATGCTTGGAAGACGTCGTGTAACGATTCCTGTTCACGTGCGATCCTAGTTACAGACTGTTGAGCGCGATGCTTGCTGGTTTCAAGAGAGCTGGGGCACCACCTCTCAGACCCTAAAAGTCCGGAAGCATATCCAGGTCCGAACTGAAAACATCCCATGGCTGTGCCTCCGTCAGCGTCGCTGGCAGTGCATTCTGCGGACCGCCGCTGCCTGGACAGCCCCGCTCCACTCGGGGCTCCAAAAAGCTCCAAACCTGCTTTTGGGGTCCCTCCTCAACCGGCATTCTGAAAAGCCCAGGAAGATGAGGCTCCGACGAAGCAAGAAGTTCAATGAGTTGGAGATGACCCGTGGGTTCGCTGCCACAGGCCTGAAGCATGGCACGCGGCAGAGTATCTCCCTGAGCGGACTGACGGTCTCTGATGGCTCACGAAGAGCTGCATGTGGGGACTTCAATTTCTCGGTCAGCGTGGAGCCGTTCCAGCGATCAAAGCACAGCTGGGCGCAAAGCCGCAGGATTCGTGGTCGGTCGTACACACCGGTTGTGTGTAGCACCTGGCTGGACAAGAATCCAGGCAAAATAGAACCATCGGTCTTGCAAGACAGCAGCTTGCAGCCTACTTGCTCCGACTGGTGCGAATTTGCCGAGCACCTCCGCAACGGAGAAGCGCTGGAGTGCTTGACGGCAGCCTCCCTGCGAGTGCGGAAGATGCGCACGAGCTTGGCGTCGGGTAAACGATCGTTCAATACATACATGATCAGGCACCGTGCGTTTGCCTCAACGATCTTGACTGCACTACATGTGCTGCCTTGCACGGGTGTGCATCGCAGAAGCCGATCCCAAAGTCGTCCAGCTCGACGACCACGCAGCGCGTGCCTTTGCCGTGGCCAAAGTCACGCCGAAGCGCTGTATGTACATGGATTGACACAAAGCCACATCCTCCAAACCAACCCGAAACCACCTCGTCTGGTGCCGACCCCGTACAGAACATGAACCACTGCAAATGGAACCCACACAAGGAGTCTGATTGAACGCAAACTTTGATAAAAGAGCAAGCGAGATTGAATGAAAGGCCCTGCTCCCACATCAATATTCCCGGGGTTTGCTGCAGAATGTCGCATACTCCTCCATGCGTGACGTGTGTGACCCCACTGTCACTCAGAAAGACAGACAAATGGCAAGCACTTCCACACCCAACATGCTTGAATTGAGATTCAACAGACTCCAACCTATGCGTTTTTGATGCTGTTCGAACCAGCGATTCGTGAGGCAATGTAGTGTACAATGTTGCTCAGATTCAGAGGGTCGCCTCGCGCAACTCGTGTTCCATGATGGTCTTGCCAAAGTGAACATTGACTTGTCGAGCCACCTGTTGCCATGGCTGGCGTCGGCAAGCGCAACAATGCTTCCAACTCCGCATGGACGGAGAAGCACCTGTCGCGACTCGTGGCTGCGCAGGGCCCGTGGCAGTCTCAACACCAAGATGAATTCACGGCGCAGTAACATCAATCAATGTGTTTTGTGCAAGAAGCGTTCGCGTCCGCAGAGCATGAACGCAGCCTGCCCGAGACAAGGCGGATGTCTCGATTGCAGCCGACGCTGAGGACCTTCGACAGCACAAAAGCGTGCTCAGAGCACAAGACTGGCTCTTCTCCGTCTATCAAGGCGAGACTTACCGATACTGGCCGTCTGCCCCGACCCTTCCAGATTAGCAACGTCGCACTCCGTCGCACCTCATCTCCCTTCAGAACCGCGCCGTGGCGCCCCGTCCGGCTGGAGCCCGCCTCGAGGAACACCCGAAAGGAAAGGAAAAAGCGGTGCTGTGTCTGTGCTTTGCGCTGTCGTACGCTGTTGTATGCTGTTGTATGCTGTTGTCTCTGTCTCTGTCTCTTGGGCCTGGCATGCTGCCCTGGCCGCCAGTTGCACCTCGACTTCACTGTGGCACTGAACTTGAGAAGCCCAGGCTGCAACGAGTCCTCAGGACGTGTCAGACTCCGCTTCCGGCGTCATCATCATCTCTTGCCTGAGGCCGGAGCTCGGAATCACCAAAAAGCCCAGAAACCCGGCAAGAACCGAGCAGAGCCTGGAGACTCCGAGTTCTGCGCAGCAGAACTCCAGGAGCCCAGGCTGCAGCATCTCCCCGAGGCCAACCTCGCAGCGCTGCGCCGCTGCAAGCAGAGCCTGCCAGCTCAAGACCATCCCTGCCTGGAACCAACATGCCGTGACCATGACCAAACCAAAACCAGATCGAGAACATCGAGATGCAGAAGCCGACCTTGCAGATCTCTTTGGCTGCGTGACGAAACTCCCTTCCAGCCAGGATGCAACCAGCAAGCCTTGAAAGCACACAGCCCTTGCCACGTGCTGCAGCGATGCAGCTTGCAAATTCGTCAATCTCAGGCTTCGGCAAAAACGCAAGCGGTTTCGGTCCCAGCGACAAGCCTTTGCGCTGAGCCTGGCAATAAAACCAGACATCCGCATGATCTCAAGCGAGGTGGTGGAAACAGTCGACCTAGCTGCATTGCTGACCTTGTCCAATGCCACGAGGCCCAACCTTCGTGTGCCAACACCTACAACTCATGCCCATGGCTTCAACTATTATAACCCCATCTGCGATTAGTGCCATGTGCACGAGCTCGGGACTCTAGGCGGTGGTTGTCTCCGGTGATCGGTTGCTGGGCAATCTGGGCCAGCTCAAGCCAAAGGCTTTCCACTCCAGCTCTCAGGGCTGGTGAAAAAAAAATCCATGCCTGAGCCTCATGCCTGAATAGCCCGAGACATCGGCAGCCTGGCGACGGCGAATCCCCGGAAGAGAAAGCACAAGAACTCCGACAAAGAAGGCTAGACAAAAATCTGCAGCTTCCTAGGTTCACCTAGGTCACTCTGATGCCAATGGCTGCGAGAATTGCAGGGACCGGCCTTCCCTCGCCGGAAGGCCGCAGCATGGAGGCCACCTTTTAAAGACGACGATCAGATCAGAGATCGTTTCAAAGAAGCCTTCGTCAAAACGAGCACAACCCCCATTTGTAAGAATCGAATTTCTGTTTCAACGCGCTGTGAAGGGTTCTGCAAGCCCCTCTGCATTGCACCTCTTCCGCCAGGCTCTCGGGGGCCTTCGTGCGATGCAAAGTCTGGGCATCAGTCTTTGTCCACGAGACGACTCGGTAGCTTACAAAGGCAGATCTCCCGCCTCCAACCGGAGTGCTTTTTGCAGGCATCTTGACAGTGCCGGCACCTCACCCTGACGAACACGACCACACACACTGCTCCATGCTGTCTGCCACTTTCAAGCGCACCTCATTGATGAATTTCTGTTGCAGTCCACCTGCCACAGCAGAGACCTTGACTCAAAACGCACCCTCTATGGACCGCACTGCCTACAGAGCGGTCGGTTAATGTGGCGGTTCGATGTCATCGCGCCTCTCTAACGAAATTCTGGATGCAGGCCCTGTCTGATGCCACCTGAGAGAGCTCAGTCTGGACTGGAAGCTGCCACGTCATGCCACATCCCTTTCAGCTGTGAATCTTGCAACCGTGTCACACATGTTCAGCTCTCAGCCGCAGAAATTCACTCAAAGGGAATGCTGAGACGAGCACACCGCAGGCGAAGAAAAGCAAGTCGAGCCTCGCATCTTCCGTCCAGCCCGAAACCAAAAGCTGCTATGATCTACTGAGCCACCTGGCCCCTGAACAGCATCGGGCGCAGCGAGCTCCTGGGCGAGATCTCGGTGCAGACAACTGGAGCTGCTTCCGCAGAGGATCGCTGATTGGCGTCCGAAAGCCCACACGCCAGACAAGGCACACATCTACAGCCGAGCCCAAACAGACAAGGTGCATCTGCCGTGCAGCGGCACCCCCCAGTGTCAGCATAGGTAGGAGGTAGGGCAGTTACTGCAGCGGAGGTTTGAAGAGCACCATGTGGCCAGAAACGGCACAGGCCGTTCGGCAAAATACGGCAGGCTGCAAACAGCGGCAACGAGACACAGGGATGTCGGGATGCGCACCTCGTCCGCTCTTCAGGGCTGCCACAGCTGGCGTAACGTTGGACACAACATCTCGTTTGCACGGACTAGTACGGCATCAAGCCATGTAACTCTGCTCATTGAAGACATAAGAAGCTGTTCTGAGTGTCGATTCCAGAAGACAGCTTCAGATACGCAATCAACTTCATTAACCTTGATTGAAACAGGAATTCATCAGCAAAGGACATCCTGCACCTGTACGAGATTGCTGATTTCAGTGGGCTTTTCTATGCCGGCATGAATCGGCATGAAGCCCAGCCTTCCCCATCAGGCCTTTAGTCATCAGACCCATAACTTCCCTGTTCTTAGAATGTAATCTCTTGTTAGTTTGTGACTTTGTCAATGGTCAGCACACTCTCCCATCATCTCTGCATCATATACTTCTGTGGACGTATCTCATTCGATGGGGCAACGTCGGACACAAGTGCAACCTGCTGAGGCTCCAGCGCTTTCCAGTCGCCGCAAAGACTCACGCCCACGACAAGACGCCAGCAACGCCCGTGCCTAGCATGAATCCCACACCTGAAACCCACCAGGTGCTACTCCTGCCGAATGTCCGCCTCGGCTTCCATGGGACCCTCCTGTCGTCTGAACCGATGCTCGCAGCACATGACAATGCAACTCCTGTGCATGATGTGCATGCTTCTATCCCCATTGTGCTCCGTCCGTCTCCTTATGCAGGAGCCTCGCTCTCTTTGGTGGTACCTGTGATTTAACTGATCAAACTCGGTTTGTCTATGCGTCTCTCGCATCCCTCTCTGTGACTCGCAATAGCTGAACGGTTTGCGCTTTGCTGGAACCGGACCGCAACAGGGCCAGGGCACCAACCACCGTGCTGGCATTAGGCCATAGCTTGAAGGACACGCTCCTGACCAGCCGCACTTTCCGCCCCAGAACGGCCGCAGGAAGCCCGCACTGAGGCCGTGACTGGCCCTGCGGGGTACGCTGAAGGAACGCGCCTGCGCCGGCCTCAGTTAGGCTCTCCGGCCATTTCCGTGGAAACAGTATCACCTCTCCTTGGCCGCGACGCACTGGAGTCGGAGTCTCCGGCCTTTGCCATAGAAACACTGGAACCTGCCAACCTGGCCATTCCACGAAAGTATACTACGGCTGTGCTACTATGTTGCAGCCTCCAGGCCACTCTGTAGGAGAGAACATCTCAAGATGGACCCAATTGGCCAATTCTTGCGGTGCTGCTGAGCTCGCCTCTTGGCTCTTGGGGAAACTCAGAAAACTGCAGCTGAATGCTTATGCTGAAGGCCTGCTGGCTTGCTCCAGTGCGCCCTTTTGGTGTGCTTAGGGCTGAGGGCCAGATGGCAGCGTCCCGTCTGCACTGCAAAGCTCCAGATGCATCCGTGCACAAGCCAAGACTCTGCCTGCCGAACCACTATTCAAACAGGGTCAAACGGTCAAACGTGTCTCCCAGGCAAGCTGAGTGAAGAAGGGTTTGCGGGCCGCAGCAGCTAGCACACGGCTCGGCAAACGCATCTTTGCGCGTGAAAAGCAGCATTCAATGCTGGCCATTTGGCCAGCATTGAAGTGCTTGGAGGTGTCAGGAGCTTGAAGCCCGCCCCTTGAAAGTAAACATGCACTGCCGGGAACTTTTCTAGGCAACTACGCGTCCTGGTGGCTCTCTGATTCTGATGAACCATGGAAGAGTGGCGCATAGCTGCCATATCTGCGTTGCTCCAGGAATGAACCGTCGTTGTTGACCCTCGCACCTTTATTGCTCGTCAGGCGTGGAGGGCTCTTCTTTACGAGGGAAAGCGTCATAGTGGTCGAAAGCTTGACTCAATGGGTTGCAATAGTTGGCCTGCCAGGGGCCACAGCTTGGGCATCCAAAGTGGGTGATCCTACCCGACCTCAACTGATTAACATGAAAACCCTCAGAACTTGACACACAACGCTACCAGCAGCACCTGCCAGGACAAGAACAGGAACCACACGATGCCCCAGCTGCCCTGCAGAAGCGCAGCATGCAAGCGCCGCCAGTCCCCGACGCTACTGTCCTTGGAGAGGCATGGAACAAGACGTCATGGCTTTTGTCTACTAGTAGCACGAAGCAGACAACTCGGCGAGCAGGGTGAAAAACGAGACGTGCTGGAAGGAACCACAGGAGAAAACAACACATGCATGAAACCGGTCAAGACTGAAACAGAGATGCGGCAGGGAGAGGCATCGAACTGTTGACAGTGACGGCGTTGCACCCGGCAAGCTCCCGAGCATAGTCATGAAGCCAACACTGACCATCACATTCACAAAACGTTTGATAAATCCTTGCTCAAACTTCTCCTTTGCATAGCTGCAACTCCAAAAGTGCCGATGTCAGCCGAGAATCATCTTTGCCCAGACCCACAGGTCTGCGAGGCCAAGGAGGAACGTTCAGGTCGGCCACACTTCTTCGATCCCTTAGAGAAGCTTGTCTCTCACTAAAGCAAGCGTTCTTCCAACTTGCCGCCACAAGATTTCAAAACAAGTGTTTCCTCCTTGTCTACGGATGAGACAAGCCTCTCCCCAAACTCGAAAACATGTCTCTCCATTGCCTGCAACGATTCCATTGTTTGAAAGCGCTCGCCAGAGCCATCGGCACAGCTTGTCTGAAGAAAGGCCTCCTTCTTACGCAACAGCTGCCACTCGAAATCGCTCAAGAGCATGCATCCTGCGGGTAATCCCTGTCGAATCAGCTCTTCATTGACAGCAGTTGCAGCCGCATCGTCCAACGCAACAATAACATCGTGCTCACGCAAAGCTTCCTGGCTCAAGGAAGCCCACATACCAGCACCCAGCTTCCGGAAAATCTGCTGAAGCTCCTCTGAGTCCATCCCTACGTTTTGGGCGAACTCAGAGATGCTGTCCTTGACCATCCCGGCTTCCGAGAAAACTTCTGAAATGCCGTCGGAGCTGTCGGGCTGCTCGCGCGACGAGCAAGCGTAGAACTCCAGGACGCGTCCCATGCCGTTCCACTCAGCGGCAGCATCTGCCAGGCGCTGGGCCAAGCGTGCGCGGACGTATCCCGGAGTCTGAGCCGAGTCAACGAAGAGGACGGAGACGAAGCATCGCGTCCAGTCAAGTCCCGAGGACAATGCACTGAGGCGACCAGAGTGCCAGTCGTCGACAGGGCTTGCAGAGCTCGAAGGGCTCCAACTTTGGCTCTCCAAGCTGCGTCGGGCCACAGTTCCTTTACGGTGTCTGCGTCGAGATCCCGCTAAGAGCAAAGGAGCATTGCCCAGTGCAGTGAGGGCCAGCGACCTGGGGTCACAAGCGAAAAGAATGCAGATACACTTCACGCCATACACAGGCACGTCTTGCCTCAGCTGCCCCCCCGCCTTGGCCTCACCTCCTTTGCGCCGCGAGCTCTCGGCCGGCTAGGGCCAGGGCCCAGGGCACTTGCCCTTGCAGTGCCATGGTCACCGCCCAGGCCCAGTCTACGTTGGGCTGGGCAAGCTATCATCTGCTTCTCAGAGCTTGGCTTCAGGCTATCACTTCCCGAGGGTTTGCTTTGATAGGCCAGGATCAATAGCACGGCTTCCGTCCTGCAATGCCTTGCATGCCCTGATCTGCTCTGCAGCCTGTTTCATATTCTCGGTCGAAAGGCTCATGCAAAGGTCCATAGACATTGCAACGGCGTAAACAGCTTCGTGAGATAGTTTTTCCGAGGCTCCAGCTGTTCTGAAGCGGAGTGCCAGTCAAAAGCAGCCGCATTCGACACCTTGCCAGCATCACACGTCCGCGGGATATGGATCTCTCACAGCTATCTGCGTTCAGCTGAACCGCCAAACTGAACTAGACGGCCTGAGCTTCGTCATGGTTGTGTGCAACAAGGTCTCGGGATTCTTGAGCCGGTGCCCTGCATCGAGGAACGACTGATTGCCCGCAAAGATAGCTGTAGCTTCCCGAAGCCTTCATCCACGATCACAAGCTGCCAGTCGGTCTTCACAAGGAGTTCGTTGCGGTGAACCTGCACAGTCTCTGCACACGCAAAGCTCTGCATCGCTGCCCTTTCCTCTCTATCACAAGTGGCCTGCTCGTAGTTGGTGACACAAACCACGACCTGCCACCGGCACGACGGAGATTCTGTATGCCACGAGGGCTCTAGTTGGATGTAACTTGTTCAAGAGCGGCAGACCTTGTTACCACGCAAGCTCCGTTCAAAGGCCGACAGCTCTGCCTCTCGCGACTCCTTCGCTGGAGAGAGCTGCTGCGAAGGGTATGCAGGAGTCTTCAGATCATGACAACCTTTGCCTTGCGAACCCTCTCCGACAAGCATGCATTTGCAGAAAGGGATGCCTGGTCCCCGACAAGAACATGCACCACCACGGATGGCGCAAAGCGATGGAATTCGGCCTGGCAGCCGGGCAGCATCCAGCCGCACAGCAACAGGGCTTGTGCTGTGAGTATGTCGCCTGCCAATTCCCCAAGCAAGATTTCGGGGCGACGACCAGGTGTGGCCCAGCGTTCTGCTTCCGCTCCTGGCCATGGGGCACTTTCAGCCCTTCCCTGAATAAGCTCCCAAGCAGCCCTTCCTGCAGATGGAGGAGCAGAGCGATGGACTGTACCGTTTTCCCAAGGCCCATCTCATCCTTCAGAAAACTTCAGTCGCATTAATTCTGGACCCACCCTCGGCCGACTGGGCAAGTGGCCGCTAGGATACCATGCAGACCGTTCACCTGGCGACCATGGACTACACAAACGAACGACGCAAGCGATCGCACACAGTTTGGGGAAGCTGCATAAAGCGAGGCGAGCCATTCCAAGCCCTCAACCTTCCAGGCGTCAGAGGATCGGATTGAAGTTTCCGCGGCTCCCTCGCCGGTCCAGGCCTGGTGGCTTAGCAGCTCGGCCTGGAGGCTTTCCGGCGGCGAGGCGTCCGGCTCCTGCGTTGGCTTCAGCCAGACGCTGATGCTTCCACGGGCCCTAGAGCCTGCTCTTTGTGAAGGATTCTCGTGTAGAGCTCGCGCCGATCGCCAGGGGATGCGCCGCGAAACTCCTGGCACTGCAAGGTGCAATCTACATGTTCTAGTCAGTGTCGTGATCCCGTGAGAGAGAAGGCAACACAAATCGTTGCCTCGAGTGCTGCCGGGCTGCGTCGCCGGAGCAGCTCCTCGGCGTGTCCTTGCGCCGGCCAGCATCGGCATATCCTTGCTGCACTTCGTGCTCTCGTCCTTGGATCTCTGCCAGGACCTCTTCGAATCTGCGCTTCGTCATCTCCACCAACTTGGCCTGACAGAAGTATTTTCGAAGGCGTATGAGATGCAGCGGCTTCAATGATTCCTTCGACGAATCTATCCATGGGCACTGCCTCTTCGACCTTCCTCTCCCTGGCTCTCTCTTCGTAGCTCAGCTTTCTCCTGTGGCGGCGAGTGGTCCATCTGCAGTGCAGGGACTGTGTTCAAGCATCTGCCTCTTGCCATCGAGGGCCTAGGTAGAGGTGCACATCATACAGTATGCGGCTCCTTCCTGGCCTACTTGAAAGTCTAAGACAGATGCGCTGTGATCTGCAGGTGTCGTGGTCTGTGGCCTCGGCGTTGGGGCTGGCTGATCAAGCGGCTTGCAATTGATGTAGGCTTCAACCATCTGCCTAAGCCATCAACAGTGTTGCTGCCATTCGCTTTGCAGACGCCTCGATTGGCAAAAAACAATCATGAACACACGCTGTAAACCTCAGCTCGATGCCTTCTGCACCTTCCAGATGTCGATTGCCTTTCCAGAGAAGAGAAATACCCCGGCCGCAGCAAAGGCAGACTGCCCACCAAACTGCACCTCGTGCCTTCTCCACGGCCTCGGGCGTCAGCTGCTGTCCTGATGGCGTGACCCGGCGCTCCTGAGCCCATGCCTCTCCAAAGTCGGGGCTGACAGTGTGTCTCTCACGGTGGCAACCGGTGAGAACGCAAGGACGGTATCTACAAGTCCGACTATGGAGGCTGTCACTGTGAACGTCTGCCTGCCTGCAACGTGTCGCAGCTGCCCGCGTCGCCCAGGCGCTCCGCGACGATCTCCAAAGCCTGCAGCCACTCATGTAGAGATGTGGAGAATCGGAAGGGGTGAAGCGGAGCCCTTTCATGACGAGCCTTGACGACGTCATCAATCCGAATCGTGCGGATCCTAGCAGGACTTGCAGGCTCCGTACTCACAACGTTGCCCAACATGGCTGGACGCGTGAATTTGGCCTTCCGGCAGGAGCCATCAGCCGGGCTACTGCGACTTCTATGAAATCACAAATATTGGAAACTGGCTGGGAAATCAGATACACTTTAAAGCAGTTATAGCGTGATGCAGATGTGCTCAGGGGCTCTTGAGGCTATGCAGCTATGCTCTGCGTGGTGATAAGCACTTTGAACCAAGGCAGGCCAGCAGTCTTCGACCCCTCAGACCCCAAAGCCTGGATGTAGCTCTATGTAGCTCTGAGGGGTAGCCAACTGGTGTGAAACGGCTTCTGCTTTCGATTCTGCAAAGTTGCAGCTGCACATGGATCCAGTGGGAAATGCAGCCAGGTCCAAATCCGGACTAGCACATTAAAAGGCTGCTAAAATGACGTTGCGATGCCGCGGCCTTGAACTCCGCAGCGAATTTAAGCTTCAAGAGTTTCGAGTGTCACATGCCAGAAAAAAGCATCGCATCCAGCCCGTAACTTCGGACTCTTCCTGCCGGCATTGCGGCATCGCACTGAGCAAGTGAAGGAGCCTCAAGCTCTGCTACGAAAGGTCCAAACAGCCGTGTCTCCTTCCACTTTGGTGGTGGATGTCACAGCGCGGTCAATGGCTCAGCCAATGGCTGTGGCGCTGCACATGCTGGCCACAGACCAGAATCTTTCGAAAGCAGGCACTTGACATGCTACTAGTAGCGTTTACCCTGCTGCCCGCTCCAAGGCAGCGCAACTTCAGACGAATGTCTGATGAAGCATCACAGAGCCCGCAGGCCTTAGATGATGCACACAGCGTCCGAAATTGGCTTGACGCGCTCTTGGCAATAAAGCGATTCTACTGATGCAGCCACAGCCCTGAGACTAAGGTGCTTGCGCTGGAGTGTCCTCGCAGTCAAAACGGTTCCATAACTGCTTCACGCGCACTTGCCTTTGCACTCCCCTGCCGGCCTCGAACATCTCTAGAACTTGTGCCATACCGGGACCATCTGGCATCACTCGCTCGTCATACACGACCACGACCACCTGACCGGAAAGAAGTCGTGATACATCTGGCTCAAAACTCTCAAAACTCCAATGGGCAAAAGCCCACGACTTTAAGCAGGAATGCTGCTTCGTATGACACACCTATGCATCTCAGAGTAAAATAGTACTATGAACGGCTTGTTACCGGTGGAATTCCTACACCATTCAGACCATTCATGAACGACTTCGTCTTTCACGGCCTCATCAAGCGGTTGCAAGAAATGCGTCGCCCCGTAGTCCGTGTACTCCTCGGTGTGTTGCTGGCTTCGCTTGGAATTGGGATCGCCGAGTCAGAGCTGTGTCCGAGATGCGCCAGCCCCGAGTGCAATCCATGAGGAGGTTGGGAAATCGCTCGCGGCAAGCTGAGGATATATCTCCTCTCAATCGATTTCCAAGGTTGCTACTTCACTAAAGGTCACGAACCTCTGCACAAGATTACAAAGCACAAGGCAGTCCTCCCACTTGTCCGTGTCTTTTTGCCCGTTGATCTGCTCAACGATCCACTCCAAGAGTGGCTCATGGAAGAGCAAGTAGTTCCTGCGATGCTTACCAAGCAACATGCCCTCGACGGTGCAGGAGGCAGTCCTGACTGGCGCCTTCACAGAGTACTGGAAGACCTCCCACGGACAGGAAGCATGATGCAACTCCCCGCATGGTTGCAAGATCCTAGCTTTTCTCAGAGTGAAGCTAGTACTTAGTAGTTCTTGTGTGACACGCAGGCAGACTCCCAAAGGGCCAAAAGCAAAGCCTCTCCGTCTCGCTTCATGTAGGACCTAAGCTCGGCGGGATGCTCTGCCGAAAGCCTTCAGTTCTGAGTTGGGGGACACCAGCGCGAGGAAGTCGACGAAGGTGCCCGGACCGAAGCTGTCGATAGGAAAGCTTCGGAGGCTAATTCCTGCTCTCGGCACGCTCGCATTCAAAAGGCATACAAAAAGCCCCAGGCCTTTGCTGCCGAAGCCCCAGTTCTTCTTCATGCTCCTTAGAGCCAAATCCGAGATGCTCATGCAATTTGGGAGAAAGCCGTTCAATTCAGTCAAAGAGCAGCTTCTCTGCTCCCTCCAAGCTGCGAATGGAGCAGTCCTGCGTGTGGTACACCCCGGGAGCCCTAGAGGCCCGAGATAATCTGGAGCACGCAGTCAGAACGCTTGCCGAATGCAGCTGAGGCAACGGCATTGAAGGCTGCCACGCGCCTGCTAACAATGTCACAGGCATATGTGGCAAAGCTCAGGCTTGAAACGCTTTCTTCTGCAAAGACCTGGGGACCAGGTGGTCGACGCGCTTGCGGTCCTAAGGCATCCACGCGAGCCAGAGGCTAGCATTGTGCCTGCTTCTGGCTCTCCTCGTGGTCCCTTGCAGCTCTACGAGTAGGTTCCTGTAAGGTCCTTCGTGTACACGATGTCAACCAGCAGCCCGAGCTCAGGTTCGACTTGAACCTGCCGTCGATGGAAAGCTTTGCCATGTAAAAAGCACAGAGGAACATGAGGGAAGCTTAGAGGACCTTGCAAGCGCCAGGGAGCTTCGGGTAGTCGATGACAGCCTCGATAAGATCGCAACGGCTAGAACCAACCACCATAGAGCTCATTTCAGCCCTTTCCGTAACACCGTGAACTTCCTGCCTTACTGAAACATGTTGCAGAGCTTGACTACACGCAGCTTCTCCGGCAACTGCTCAGCCAGCGGCGTAAGTCACCGGAAACTCCTGTAGTCGCTTCTTGTCTGCCTGAGCATGTGGCCACGGACACTCCGGGAGCAGGTGTACAGACAAGTTTAGCCTGCTGGTCGCTGACTTGGTACGGGTGAGGAGGCCTTGGGATTCGCCCGTGTGGACTCAGACGTCTCTCAGTGCCTGCATCCAAGCGGCATGTAGTAGCTGAAGATAGCGGCGGGCTTCGTGGCAGAATGGCTCTCCTTTACTTTGCGCTTCGTCACCGTTGATTCGACTGCGCGGCAAATGCGGCGCTACAAGGATGAAACTGCTGAGATGAGAAGCACCTTCCAACTGCTAAGGGATCCAGGAGGATGCCGAATAAACAGAAGAGCACCGACCACAATCAACTCGAAATCAGACCCTATGGCCGCACAGCAACCCACGCGAACAGCTTTTGGACAAAAATGCAACAGAAGAGAGTCAAGGAAGTCAGACGCAGGATGACTGTCACGGCTCGTATGGCCGCAGAAGCTGAATAGATGTCGCTGGTCCTGGCCAGCCTCGCCGGCTTGCGCCATGTGCCCTGCCAGAACGGGCCCGGCAGACATGGCAGTTGACACTGGCAGTCAGAATCGGCGCTTGCATGATGGCTTTGGCTATGTCAAAGAATCCCACCTGCCACGTTTCCAGCCACCCCAAGGCCTCACATGACGACAGATGAGTCTGAGGAGCACTACGGTCTTTGCATGTCTTTGGTAACTTATATAGCAGCCGAGCTTCCGCAACATCTATGCCACAGCTTCAGTCTTCCTGCTTGTCGCATCATCTGTACAACCTTTCTAAAGACACCCAATGACGAGTCCATTTCATGCTTCAGGCTTCAGCAACAGATGCCTACCTTGAAGTCGCTGATGAACCTGCTGAAAGTGATATGATCCATTCCCCACGGGTCCTGTTCAAAACTTGGCACTGCGGACGATTTAGCGGCAAGTTCTTGCCAATCAGCTCAAGGGTAGGCTCCAGCTGCTTCGCCAGGTGTTCTGCGTGCTCATCAGACTCGAATCTGTAGCACAAGGACCTCGCAGGCATTTTCTCCCAATTGCAGCACGTTTGCGAAGCATTTCTCCGGCACTGTCGAGGGTCAGCAACGTCAAGGCAGCATATTTTGAGCATACTAAGCCAATCACTTTAGATCTTTGCGCGTGACGTAGCCTTTCTTTTTCCTGACAAAGCATTCAGAGAAGTTGCACAACAGGCGATACGAAAAGCAGACATGAACTTCCCAGCCTATCGAGACGTGTCCAAACGGCCCACTCTCGCCTCCACTTGCATACTGTCCAGTTCAGCCCGAAAACAAAAAAAAAAAAGTTACGTTACGAGGGCTCAGGCAAGAGGCGGATGCGTCGCTTTGCCAGGCTGACGTCTTCGACGCTGCTCCCTGCGAATCCAGTAGACAGCCTGGGTCGAAGAGAGATGGAAGGCACAGGCACAAACAAGGCGAAGCCGGCTAAGCAGCAGAGGCCGTCATGGCACCGGATACGAAGCCCAAGGTGGCAGCTTTGGGCACCTAAGATTCCCGAGCGTCCGTCAGCCCACACCCGTGCCCAACCCGCCTCGGCATCGCGGACCGGTGCGCAGTGGGATGGCGGAGTGTCGAGGTCAATGCCGCCGACCTTCAAAGGTTCAGCCTCGCACGACTCACAGGCAAAAGAGACTCTAGAATCCACCAGACCCGTACCATTCTCGAACTGGTTGGCCCGAGTCACCCGTGCGGCGGAAACCAAAATAGCAGCACTCAACGCCCTTGCTTTCACACCGGGCATGGCTCTAGGCTGTTGCATGCATGGACCGTCTTTCCAAAGACCAGACTTCCTTCAGGATTCCATCATCTTGAAGCTTTAATATATTAGCGCTCATGTTGCTGAAGCCCGAAAGCTGAAGCAGCTGCAGTCGCGTCAATCTTGCGGTCAGAGAGATCATGACCAATAAGAGAAGAATCTGCAAGCCGTAGATGACCTAAACAGCTTCTGAACATGGTGCCGCTTATTTCTATCGCAATCGCCCGCGGTTTCGATACCTCAGCATGTTGAAGCGATGAAATGATGACACTCTGTGCCGTGCGGCAGCCCTCCGCACTCCCGGGCTCAGGCAGCAGCCAGGAAACATGTGCACGGTTCTTCCGTGAGAACCAATCGTACCTGATCGGTTAGTCAAGACAAAGCCCGTTGCAAAACCTGTCCCAAATGTGCCAAACTGAAAGTTTGCTCCCAGGACTGACATACGAGCAGATGAAGTCCTTCCTCAGCAAACGGCCCTGCATAATCTGCGAATCACACGCACCGACCTTGCCAAAAGGCACAGCGCAGCTTCCGGAGATCCCGCAGGAAAAGGAGGCGCCTGCAGAATGCTGCAGGATCTTTCATGATCTTTCATGGCCGAACCGGCCTGAGCCAGCTCTTCCCAAGAAACGCCTGGCGTGCGAAGGCAACGCCCAAGTCTGGAGACTCGGCCAGGGGGGGGGGTGCGGTTCGCCGGAAATCGGAAAGGCCTGGGTCGAAGTCCAGCTGCCGCGCCAGGTGCTCCAAACTGAGGGCATCGAAGCCAAAAGAAGAATGGCTTCTGCCGTCAACTCCCCGAGCTCGCGACTGGTCACGGAGAATCAAACGCTCGCCACGGCGCAGTCTGCCACAGCGGTTGTCACTCCAAGAAAAGACAAGAATAAAAAAAAATGCATTCATCAAATCAAAGCCACTACGTGAAGTAATACGCAAGTGACCCTGGCAATTAAGCCTTAGTCTGGATAGTGTGGACAACCATACAATCAGACTGATCTGAACATCTGGCCGGACTGGCTGTTGAACACAGGTCTTGCACATGCACACTCCCCTCGTCTGACTTCTCACTGCCTGTCCACGCTGTTGACTGCTGAGCGGATGAAGTCGAAGACGAGAGGCTCATCTGGCGTCAGCCTTCACGAGTCACGAGTCATCTCCACAAGCATGAAACATGTTGCACGGCTGTCCAACGGCTCGGGGTCACTGCTCATTTGCCTTCCCATGATTCGGAGGAGACCCAGTGTTTCGCACATCTCGTGCATGGAAACCGCCGCGGCACCTGCCAAGTGAAGCCAAGCAGTCAGAATCCACGGAGTTCAAACCCCACAGCCGCACAGCTGGGTCCCGCCTCTTGCGGCAGAGCGCGCCTCTGCCATTTCCTGCGCCTGCTTGTTGAGGCGGTGTTCGCCAAGGCCGAGGCCCAAAAGGCCTCCAGACACGCCAGACTCGGAGCTTTGCGGTTGCACCCTGAAGGTTTCTAACGCTGAGACCACAGCCGTGCCGCAACAGGATCAACCTGAGTCGCTCTGTCCCATCATATCCCATCATCGCGACTTCTCCGTTGCAAAACAACATAATGAGACGCTGAGACAGCAGAACCGAAGAACCGAGGGGCCCCACTCAGGCAGCTCCAGGTCCAAACGGTCCAGGTCCAGCAGGCGCAGCACACGCTGAAGCGGAGGCCAGGGCGTGCCAAAGAGCGACGCAGAACGCTAACGCAGCTCTGGTGGACCCTTTCTGAGTCCAGAGCTCGAGGCACACCAGGCAGACCGGCTCCTTTGGCCTGCCAAGCAGTGACCCTCCCGTTGCCAAGCCGAGCGCAACAGACCACGCCTGCAACAAGCCCAGCGCCCCTACGGCCCTGGCAACGCTTTTGGGAGCACCTGCGTGCAGAATTCAGGAGGCATGGCCATCCGCTTCAGCTGCAGATGAGCTAAAACCTGCGAAGGCAGCATCTTGCCGCGTGCTTCGCCAGAAGGTCTCCTCCGGGTGTTCATCTCAGAAGATCGAAGGCAGTTTGCCGATATCTTCCAAAACTCACATGACACCTATGCGAAAGACATGCCCCTCCTCTGCCAGTACAACTGACACGGCGGCTGAAGTGTCCACAGTTAACCTCAGTGTCGCAAGAGGGTGGAGGCCCAAACGCACGCGTGTGCACGGAGCACTCGGTTTCCGGTCACTAAGCAAATCAGCCAGGGGGCGGCCAGCATAACGCCGCAGCCAACAGGGGTCTCGGTCCAACAGCATAAGAAGTAGCTAAGCAGCACGTGCAGGTGGCCTGACCCTGAGAAGCGTGCTTGGCCAAGTACTCAGCTTGTGATGCAGATGGCGGGCATGCAGCCTGGTCACCCAACAGGGCTCGTGCCAAAGTAGGTGCTGCGGCTAGACCCAACGAAGAAGGCAACAAGTACTGTGAGTGGCACAGGCAAAGCAAGAAATGTCGCCTTGCAATGACATCTTTCAAGACCTCAAGCAGACACCTCCAGCGCTTGTGGCAGCAACTTTTCGAGGGCTGCTCTGGCTTCTGCTGCCTCCTGGAATAAGGGCAGCATGGCCATGTGCTACCGTCTGCCATGCCACCGAAAACAGCAGAGACGTGCAAGGTCCTGTGTCGCATCGCTGACAGAAGCAACGAAAAAACCCATCGAGAGGCAGGAAGACGCTAATCGGCCTGACACTCACTCGTTAATGGACTCGCCATTATCATGCGGCATGCTAGCAGCTCACAAGCACGAAGGTTCTTGAGAGACGAGTGCTAAAATGACCTAGTGTGAACAAGGTAATCTCTTGCAACTAAGATGCTTGCATCAGAGAGGTCTGAATTGGCCACCTGGGTTTGCAGCGCATGCTGCAGAAAGCTTGTTCCGAAATCCTTGTGCTTCAACAAACCCAGACACATGCAGAATTCTGATGTTATGCATGACACATGGAGCTTGATTTTGTGCGCGCAACGAAATTTGGTCGCACTCTTGCATCTTGGCCAGACCTGTCATATCTCAAAGGGCTCGGCTGCCAAGCGTTGGGCAGCAACCAGTAGCAAAGGCCTTAGGAGCTTACTTCCTCTCGTATGCGAACAGACAGACACGTTTCACTTCGGGAATGAAAACACGGCAGTCTTCATTTCAGCGTCGAACTTTGCAAAATCGGAGTGCAACACGAGCAGGTGCTCAGACAGGGAAGCCTCGTTCGCATTGCTTGCGACGGACCACGCTCGCAAGCATACTTGATCGAGGCCCCTGCAATGACGCGCAGAATTTCAGACGAGGTCAGCACCGCACTTGCGTCATGAAGTTCCTTCAAATCACCCATGGAACTTATAGTGTCTCAGGTGAGGAACAGACGACAAGGGAGGCATTGCAATGAGTTTAGACTGCAGCCATGTCCTCTCACTCCCAGCTATCTTTCACTGCGTCGACCAATTCGAGTCGGACCCTGTGCAGAGTGCCGCCTTGAGCAATCGCTTGAACCGCAGCTTGGCGGGATCCGTCCTTTCCAAACGGGTAACCATTGCCCGCTCCAGTGCTCTAAGCAGGTAGGAGACCGATTCGCGATATGGAAAGAAAATTTCCGATTCGCCGACTTGGAGCAGATACACGCAAAGCGGAATCTGGTATGGACATCGCAGATTCGCGCAAGGCTGATTCGCGCAGCACAGCAATTCGCATTCTGACATGGCCGGAAAGGCTGAAACCGAAAGCAGTACAGTATAGCCACACCCTAAACCCAAAACCACAAGCCCACTGACACCCGCTGAACACTCGACACATCTGAAACTCAAACTCTCACAACTTAATCTAAAGCCCTAATGACCCAACCCAACAAACCAAACCGCAGAGCCCTAAACCCCTAAAAAAAACAAACCCTAAACAACTGAAACACCCGGAAAACTAAAGACAATCCAACCGAAAGCCTAAAGACCTGAATAACCAGCGCGTGCTCGAACCGCTGGCGTGCCCCAATCGCGTGCTTGAACGTGACACTGAAAGCCGCACAATCTACGGAAGGCAACCCGTGTGCTTCGCTTGGGGAGTCCCGAAGGATAATGCGGCCGCGTGCATGGTTGCAACATAGCAATGTTGGTGAACGCACTTGGGGTCCCCTGCCTCTCAGAGGACATCTGCTCACACTGCGAAACGCAGCGGTCCACCTTGTGGAAACTGCCCGCTCTAGGAACTTGTGAGCATGCCCGTTTCAGTGTTCAATCCCAGTCCTGCCTTGTCCCGCAAGGACAGCTCCCTTCTAGGGGCGCGTGTGGCACGGTACAGGCCTTTGACACGGTCGGGCCTTGGCCAGTGCCTATCTCAGACCAGTGCCGAAATGGTGAAGCTGAGCCCCCGGCACTCCGACAGTGATCGGCCTTCAGAGAAGTTAAGAGGTGTGGAACGCTGCTGAGCCATGCCAAGGACCTCCCAACAACTCAGCAACCGACCGAGCCCCTTGCGGCCCTCCGGCACACCGAGTATAGGCCTCCGACGCAGAACGACCATAAGAGAAGCCAAGATGAAAGAAGCTCGTCGTGCAGCAAAACGCACCCACAGCGCCTGCAAGAGGCAGCGCCACCTGTCCGTCAAGCTGCCATGGATTTCACTCAATGTCAAGATAGGTTTGCAAGAGTTGCTCCAAGCAAGTGCAAAAGAGAATGAAAAAAAAGGAAAGACTTGGAGCAGCAAACTAAATGTGAAATGAATCTGAGGGTGGTGGCAGGGGATATGCCCTCCCCGCGGCTCCTGAAAACATTCGCGCTGACTGCCATCAGCTGTCGCAGCTTCACATTGCATGCTGGAATCGACCCAGGGATCACAGAACTGTGTGGGCTCGCAGCTATGCTTGGGTCAGAATACCTTTGGAACTCAGCTAGCGATTTACGGACAAGCTCGATGTCCGGTCTTAGGGGTTGCCTCTCCATTCCCATCCGATGCCAACCCAGGTCTCGGCTGCTATCAGTGTTGATTTGGTTGCATGCCCTGTCGATGGTGTGATCGTGCTGCGCAACGGTGTCCAAAATAGTGACTAGGCGGAAGATGCTCACAGAACGGCAAACGAAAGCCAGTAAAGTATCTCCGCACAACGTACGGACGGAAGGCTCCGAGGGTACTGATCGTAGCCACCGACTAATGAAGTTGCTTCACAGAACTGATGTCCCCACAAGAAAGCACAAGTTGAGCAGGGGTTACATGCGCATTAAGGGACAACAGAGGAACAGTCCAGGATGCTTTTCGAGATGCACGGAGCTGCGTACAAAAGCTCTGCAACGAGCTTCCTCTGTACAATGCAGCTTCTGGCTACAAAGGCTTTGGAACCTTGAGTTAAACGATCTCTTCGAGACACAAAACAAGTTGGTATTCTGAAGTCAAGGGTGCGAGGCCCTTAAAATCTGCACAGGCAGGAACATCTACTTAGTAGATCTCCATATCAAAAAGCCTTTTAAAACTGATGCCATGCACGTGCAGCAGCACATGCTAGAACATTATCACGCCAGCCCAACTTGTTCGTCATGTCCCTGGGCAGGCCGGTGTCCTCTGCGTGCGCAAGAGATTTGGAGGTGCGATCTCAAAGGTTTTTGCCCAGGTGCCAACATGAGCTCGTCGGCATTTGACTTCGGTCCTTGCACATACTCAACACAGTCCGTGCAGTCGTGAAACGAAGCATTGAACCGAAGGCCTCTTTTCGCTCTTGGTGGCAGTTGCTTCAAACCTTGAGGCGCAAGCCAACCGGAACCCAATCACGAAGATATCGTGCGAATGCCAACGCGAGAACTAAGGAAGGCGCAGGAACTTCTCCTGCTCATGGAAATTTTCAACTTCCATCATCTGACAAGATTTGATCCTCGCACGAGACTTGTTCATCGTGAGTCTGGGAGTCTGGCTTCACAGAGGTTACAACATTACTCCCGCACACGGGCACCACAGTCCCTGGTAGGTCGACCGGAAATCACACTGACACCAGGCACACAGCAGTAGCGGTCTCAATAGTAGTGGCAGTAGCAGTATTCTTCTGAGCAGTATTCTTCATACGAATCGTAGTAGCAGTCGTCGTCGTCGACGTCGTCGTCGTAGTCGTAGTGGTAGCGGTAGTGTTAGCGGTAGTGGTAATGGTAGTACTAGTGGTAGTAATGGTGGTTGCGATAGCGTTGGTAGATATCGTGGTCGCGATCGTGGTCGTAATGGTCGTGGTCGTGGTCGTGGTAGTGCTAGCGCAGCAGCTGTAGTGGTTGTGGTTGTGGCAGTGGCGGTAGTGGTCGTCGTACTTGTAGTAGTGTTAGTGGTGGTGGTAGCGGCAGCGGCAGCGGTAGCGGTAGCGGCAGCGGTAGCGGTAGCAGCAGCGGTAGCGGTAGCAGCAGTGGCAGCAGTAGCGGTAGTGTAGTGGTACAGCGGCAGTGTCCCTGAATCTGAACAAGTTCATGGGCTCTTGAAAGTAGCTGCCTTAAAAAGTTTCGGATTCCGGCCATGCGGAAACTAAGAAGACCGTCCTGTTGTCGAGAACGTCGTCCATATGTTCGGAGTGCATGTGTTCCATCGACCTTCTATGGAGAAGGTAGCACGGAAGCTTCGAAAAATCGGGTGGGCCACCTCATGGAGCCAAACCACTCTCGGCAATTTCGCTTCACATCTCCCCTGAGATGCGTCTCTCTCGCTGCGAGACGGCCGCACGAAACGTAGGAAGCTCGGTGCGAGAAAGGCTCACTCGGAATTTGCTTGTGAGCACAACCTCCTCTTCGATCTGTGAGGGAGACATCTTGCCGAGCTCGATGTCGTCCAGGAGATCCTCCACACCTGGACTGCGGCAGTGTAGACGTGATTGCAGCATGGATTGCATGCCCACTGATGTATACACACAGCTGTTTTACGTGTCTGTGTGTCGGACTGAGTTTCGCAAGGCCTAGCGGGCCTAGCGGCGAGCTCCCGTCTGTCTGTCTGTCTCTCCGCTTCTCTGTCTCCGTTCGTGTGCTCCGTTTTGGGTGCTCGTGTGTGTCGTCAACATCTACTCAACCGACCGCACTCCAGAGCTGCAGAATATGCTGTACGTACTGCTTCAGGGCGGAAACAGGCAGGCTTACCGGTTTGGATGGCAAAAAGCCGTCCTTCACTCCCCAACACTTTACCCACCGAGGTGCAGTCTTCAATTTCTGCCTCTGCGGCAGCGGAGGATTCCAAGGTCGGCATACCTGCTCTGCTCATGCAGCGTGAATGCGAGACAGAGCTCCGGTTTTTGGAATTGTAGCGTGGCCGAGTTAGATGCAAGCTGCCCACTCGCCGTCGGACATGGAGACTGATCATTCCTGACTCCGGACACCCAGCTTTTCTATACCAAGGCACCCGACCCAATCATCGCCGAAACGCGATCTGGCAGGGTAGTGACCGAGTTAATGTGTCTGTCTGAGAAGAGCCTTGTGGCGGCTTCGTCTCCCTACAGATTATGAAGCAGGCCTCCACAAACCTTTTTTGTCACGCAACATTCATACGACAGTTGGTACAACATCCCTGCTGGCCTCTGCGAACCGGGCCCGAGTATCCAACACAGGCAGTCGGGCTTGACAGTGGAACCTGCACTGTAATGCTTGAACATTGAAGTTTCATGTTTCACTCCCACTGCACGGTTTGCCTCATAACAACGATGCTCAGGGTTGTATCTTCCCATCCATTCGGTTCTGCGCGACCTCCAATGGGTCATTCTAGTGCTGCCTCAGGACGAACGAAAGCTCAAGTGTGTGGCAGCTGACTGAATGCCCAGACACAGGCGACTTGCAACGATACATCCCGGAACATGCACGTGCCAGTCACCCCAGCATCACGAGTGCCACTCAGGCACAACTCTGGCAGTTCCACTCCTCGTTGCCCGAGTCATGCTGGTGAACCTGTTCAACTGTTGGTTGCGGGTTGCCAGTACTGAACCGTGATATAACTCTGAACCGAGAGCAATGCCCGAACCCACCTCAAAGGGACGGGTTGATCGTATCACTTTAAGTATCTTTAAGTGTCAAGCTGGCCCTGGGCTCAAATCGCGGAGGCCTGCCAGATGAGAAAAAGGTAGTCAACGAAGGCATGATGCAAGAGGAAAACTGGATCGGCCGTTGCAAACGGGAGGATGGCCATGTCTCCGCCTGGACCGGAGAAGCAGGTGCTGCGTTCTGGTTGGCCCGAAGTTCATATCCAAGCCAGAAAGAGACGTCGTCTTCAATCATGCTAGCATCTAGCTTACGGATGGACAACATATCTTACCTTCTGGTCCAGCCTATGGCGATATGGAGCTGCGCGTGAACAGCTTCAATCCAGGACTGGAAGTGTTCAAACCTCGTCCTCCGATAAAGGCCTGCCTGCAATCATCCAATAACCACCACACAGCAGCTTACCATGCAAGCCAATGAAACACCGCTGCACACAATGCACATTACGTCAACATGTGTCGAAATTGCCAAAGCACTATCAGCACCGGAAAGGCTGTGAGATGAAAATCTTCCCGCGGAGCTCGGCTGACACAATACGAACCTTGGCTTGAACACATGTCGAGTGAAAGTACGGCATCTCGGCATCACGCACACTCTGACACTCTGGTGCTACACACGTTCAACATCCCAAGGCAAGCCAAGCCGCAGCTGCGTCTGTGTGCAAATGGACGCTCTGTCCAGTCACGGGCAACTCCTGTCCTGACCTGATCCGGAGCACAAGCCCTCACATCTGATTCGTCAAAGACGGATATACACGGTACCTCTGCCTGATCTGCAACAGCTTAGATTCCAGCACAGTTGTGGCGTTCGTCTCTTGTCGAGCACCATGAATCATCGTCGCCAGGACCTCGTCCACCTTCAGGACGGCCATATCGGGTGTCAGACCAAACCTCCGAGACACCTGAGGAGCTAGGACCGTTCTACCTCACAAGCTTTGAAGGATCTCCAAGCACTGCACCCCAGAGGTCTCCCGCATCTCGGTTGGAGTTCCAGTATGGAAACGTCACGTTACAGTCGCCAGATAGCCTTAGAAGACGTTTGACTAAGCGCACACTGTCAACGTGACAGCACTCCACAATACTGCAGGACGGAGGCGACCCACATCCGATGCCGTTTCGGAATGGCACTTGCATACGAGATTCAGGCACACTCCTAACACAAATACTGTCTGGTTCGCCCTCAAATAGCAAAATCTCAGTCAGAGCACCGATATTCAACATCAGGCGTGCCAACCTACTGAGTGACGAGGGACGTCGCCATTCAACACGGCCCCTAATTTCGCAGCAGAACCCTCAAAATCACCTACTGAGAAAATCACACCCCCTACCGCCAAAAATGACCTATTGCAAGAGTTCAAGAAGTGATGCCAGCAGACTAAGCCTTCCAATTGAGAGCGAGCCGCACTTGAAGTCGAGTTTCAACTTCGAAAAGCAATCGTCTGTGCATGACCAAAAACTCTTGAGGATCCCGATGACAATACCTGCAGATGCCGGTGAGTGATGTGAACTGAGGCTCCAGGTCTTTCGGCTTCAATGATCTTTTACGAGCCAAAGTTCGGATGGAAAGCAAGAAGGGAGTCGTATGTGTAAGGGAAATCGGCCAGACCTGGAATGAGCAGTGCAGGAGGTCTCTTTGCACTCACATGTATCCTGCAGCCGTGACATAGTGATCAAGGCCCAAGCAATCGGATGGATCATCACATAACGACCAATTGTTTTTGAACAGGTTCAACGCTTCCGCAAACTTGTTGAACTCTTCGTCCGTCCTAGCAAATTGCACGGGTGGTGCAGGGTCGGTCTCCCGAGATTCAGCCGCGCTACAGTTCGTCAAAAATGCAGCCGAAGCTCATTTGCTTGATATCCTTTCTCAATCTTTTTTGGAGGCCGGTGGGCCTCCCTGTTGTGTCGATCGGTCGGCAATGATTGTCGCCACCATCAGGCGGATGTGTGGTCCTTACTGCTATACTCTTCGGTGGCACCTAGTTCCTTGCGGCACGGCTTCTGTATCGTCTTGGACATTCATGCTGTCACAAACTGCATAAAGGCCAAGCTGCGGAGGAGGTGGAGGTGCTGGCGTTGGTGCCGGTGACGGTGGGGTTGGTGTTGTTGTTGTTGTTGTTGGCGGTGGTGTGGAGGGAGGAGGTGATGGGGCTGGTGGTGTCGGTGGAGGTGGTGGAGGTGGCGGCGGCGGGGGTGGTGGCGGCGGGGGGGGCGGTGGTGGTGGTGGCACAGGACTTGGTGGTGGTGTGGGCGAAGGGGAACCTCTCCTGCGGTGGAAGGATACTCGCCGAGATCTCCGAGATCTGCGCGATCTCCGGGATCTGCGCGATCTCCTCGACCGCCTAGAAGAGGATCTCCGTCTGTGCCACCAATCGTCATCCAGAACCTCACGCTGACTGGCCTCACGACAAACAGCTTGTGTAGAAGCTGTAAGAATCCCCAATTACGACGAATGTGTGTACTGAAACGATTTCCAAAATACTTCGCACCCAGCTGAGAACGTCGTCAAACCCAAGTTAATTATGCTTCGAGCTTCACCCGAAACTTTTTGTCATCAGCCACTTCTGACAAAAAACACAAGAATCCTCACCTGCACCTGCAACACGTTGGAAATGTCTGCCTGCGGCTTGGGGCAAAGTTTGCACCAAACATGGCAAATGCTCGACAGCTACGCTTTAAACAGCAAAGCCTCGCAGTTCTCATCAGTATAATTCCAACAGGCGTCGCCGATGGAATCGTGCTTGGCAGCCTGGTGTTGGCAATGCTTCTGCGGGCGTCCACCATACCAAATGCACAGTGAGTACAATGACACAGTGTCACAAAGGTGTCGAACCAAGGCGCAACCAAGCATTGGATCAAGAACACGAGGAATGCCCACCTGGTCACATCGGCGAACAAATGATGCCGCAAGCATTCACCCCACAACACTGCTAGCCTGGGCATGGGGACGGACATAGAGGCACACATTCTGGAATCGGTTCGGTTGCGCCAAATGGCTGCAGCTTCTCAAGCTCAAATCTCCCAAAAAACACACTTCAGCAAGATTTTTTGTTCTTTATTTGCACATCGGAATCCAATACAACTTCCATTTGAGTTCTCGAAGATATCGAAAAACAAATAATGCATAAGAAACTCGCATTCGGACAACTGCTGTTTTCCAACCTGGGATGCTACACGCCATGCCGTTGGCATTCAAACGGCTCGGAGACAGGCCAAAAGATTCTGGGGAGGGCGGGCGGGCAAAGTTTTCCCCGTGCCCCCCTTAAAGACTTTAAGCATAGTGTTGCCCACAAAAGTGTCGACAACTTCCATGCTCGGAAATTTTGATGTCGTGATCGTAATTTCAGTTCGAAATCGAACGTGAAAGTTGTGCAAAACGGAATAAGGGGTTCAGTCTTTCTGCTTGGATTTGAAGGAGTAAATTCGCACATCGGAACAGTTCGGTTATGGCTTCCGTTTCCTAC